TCATATTTCTTCGTATATTTATCTATTCGAGCATTGGTTAGGTTTTTAACCTTTTTCCTTTTATGATCATTGTGTGATATAGATTGCTAGTTTTTGTGTCAATTATTATAAAAAAATGTCCTAATTATAATTTAGTTTACATTTATAGTTATGCTAGTAAATCTTCATTTTAATTCTAACATTTTTTAATTTTAATAAAAATAACGATTTTTATTTAAAAATATATATATTTCGGTATAAAAGAAAAACCCTTAATTTTTGGTTCAATTTTGCAAAACAAGTGGTATATTTATTCTTGTTTTATGGACAGATGGACTGCAATCCAGTCAAACAATGAGTTGATTTATAATATTGTATTTAAGATTTTAATTTTATTAATACCACATATTGGGTTGGTGTTTATGATATCAATAAAAATTAAAAAAAAATAAGGCACAGATTACCAGACAAATAATGATGGACTCATTTTTCAACCTGCTTCAGTTCCTTTTGCTGATTTAATTTATTCAATTATTCCCATAGAATATAAATAAAATATTGAAATTTGTGCTTGGAGTCTAAAATGTCAAAACAATCACTAATTTTTCTCAACTAAACTGACAAAACCCCATGTGCATAGATTTCTCAAGCCTATGTTTTCTCTTCCTGACAAAGAATCTTGCCTTGTTTATTGCATCATCCAATAGTATTTCTTCAATAATTTTATTAAATGAATGAAATATTATTTTAATAAAGTTTTCTTCTGGTAGGGTAAACCTCTGTCATTCTTGTTGCTCCAAAATATAAGTATTTGATTACGACGAATTAAAATAAAAAATGACAACAGTTAATTTTTCTAACTCCTACTTCTCACTGTCAAAGTTTTCTATGTAGCAGTTAATTTTTTACAGCGGCACCTCCTATCATTTTGCTTATTTTTCCCGTTCGTTCTTTATTTTCTTATTCATTATTAATATTAACTTAGTTTAATAATAAAATTTCTCTTTGCCCTTTTTGATAAAGAATATCATAGCTACCGGTATGTGTGAACTTCCGGTGCAAGTTGTTAACTTGGTTTCTTCTCGATCTACTCTTTTACATGAATCCATGGTTTGTTGCGTTCTTGATGTTTGGCTCCTCTGTTCGTTTGTACAAGGCGATTTGTTAGTTATCGCATATATGTACCGGATGAGATTGTCGTTAAGGGTATATCACTTTTTTCTGTTGATCATTTTTGTTATTCTTTAAGTTTCTCTTCTCTATGTTTGATGCTTGGAGCCGTTGGTGTGATTAGTTTATTTACGTCGTTGCTTCACTTGTTAATATTTTTGTTTATCAGGTTATGATCATTGTTATATTTTATTTATGATAGTAATGACTATATTTGTTCAATCTGTAACTGACAAGACGTTTATTGATACGACTTTTGATAAATTAAATATCTTATTATTTTCAACAACAAAAAAACATAGTTATACATTGTAAAAATGAACATGAACAAGGTGAGCTAATAACATGTTGGTTTATCTTAACTAGTTAGCTTAATCATTTGATAAGAAAAAATATAAAGATTATATTTAAATATTTATGAGAATATATTAAATTATTGTGAGATTTTGAATTTTGGATGTTTTAATAAAAAAGTGATAAAGGAACAATTAAAAATATTCATCTTTTTTAAACACATATTAAACATAATTATGAAAATATGATATTGTAAATATATATAAAAAACACGTCTATTGATTTTTCAACAAGTGTTTGTATACTTGAAATTGGTTTCTATTGCACGAACTACCTCAATGATTAAAGAAATAGTTATTATTCTTAGAATTTATAGATTTAAACACTTGTGATTAAGGGTGTTCAATCAGTTAATTCGATCACCGACTTAACTGAATAACTATTAATTGAATTAACCGATTATTTTATTTAATTGTTAATCGAACCAATCATTTTTAAAATATTTTAACTGAGCCAAATTAAGTTCAGTTAATTTCGTTGGTTAAAATTTATAAATAATACATATTATATATTGAATATTTAATATTGTCAGTTAATTCAGTTAAAACCAAAGTTTAAACATCCTAAAGTTAAATAATATATATAATATATTAAATATTTAATAATTTCAATTAATTCTATTAATCAATTAATTAATTGATTTCTATCGATAATTGAAATTTAAAAAATATTAATCATTAACCGATTGAATCCAAAATTAATCAACCGATTAATTAAAAAAATCAATTCGATCAGGTAATTCAATTTTAACTGAATTATGACATCTACCAGTGATTATATGAGTCTAATGTATTTAATTATTTATTATCAAATAATTAAGAGCCTTTAAAAGACAATGATATTTATAATTGCCTATATTAATAAAAAAATGATTACTATTACTTGTAAAAAATGGTTCCAATTATTAATTTTATTTTAGTTCTTAAAAATCAAACACAGACAATCATCCACAACTACTGATGATTAAAACTCCCCACTACAATTTTCTTGTCAAATTTATTAACATTTGAACAGAACGTTAATCATTAAATATTATAACGTTTTAAATAATTTTTCCACAATCCTATAGCCGTAATTTTTATTTCAAAAGACAACACTTCACCGATAAAAGCTTCTAATTTCATTAGGAGGATCGAGTAATGTGGGCTTCGTTGGTCAAATAATTCAAATGAGATTTTTTTTTAATTTTTTAAAAATATTTTTAAAAATTTAAGAACAAAATAATAATAAAATATATAATAATTTAATTTTTTAAAGAATTTATTTTCTTAATCCGATTCTCTTAAAATTATACATAAATTTATATAATAATAATAATTTTATTGAATCAATAACCAATTGATCTAGTGAGATAAGACACTAGATTCTACAAGTAAGGTTAGTGGTTTAAAATAGGCTTAAACGTAAAAAAAAGTGTCAAATGTTATGTCTTTTTTTCTAGTTTGGTGTCTAACGTTTTTTTTTCGTTATAGTTTAATTTATTCTATAACTTAGTTTGGGTCTGACCGTGACGTACCACTAATTCTGACCATTAAATGCCATCAACCATTTATTTAATATTAAAAATGAATTTTATAAATAAAATAATAATAATAAATTAATTAATTCCCTCTCTTCCCCGTCACTCTGCAACATCCCTCCATGGCTCAACTTGCCCGACTGTTATTTCTCCTTTTCATACTTCAATGCTCTCCGATTGAACCTCGAAACCTCCATAAACAATGAATCATTTCACTGCAGTAACCTCAAAACCTTTTAATACACACAAAACTTTGCTAGTATGGTTACAGACTGTTAGTTCGACCATGATCAGTTTGTCGGTGACTCAACCACAATTATCGAAAACGAAGTGCTGCCATAATTATTCGGTTCGACCTCCCACACACGAGCCCCGACGATGGGAACGAATTAAACGTCCGACGGTAGCATAGCAAGAATAACGACAACCCACATGTGTGAAACCAATGTTGTCGAACGATGGTAGCAGCCCCCCAACAAGAAAGAACACACCGGTTTAACTCTTCCCCACGAAGCCACCGTCGAACGACCACGAGCTCGGAGTGTGGTGATGGCGTAACTCACGATTTTATTACCGAGAAAAAGTGAATGATGATCACAACGTTGGAATGATGAGGCGATGGATGGCTTTACAAGTAATGAACCACTAACGTGAATGGCGTTATCCCTTTTGAAAGATGGGAACGATGCACGATGGAAAAAGGAAAACAATTAAAGAATAATGGCTTAACCGGTGATGAACCATTGTTACTCCATTGATGAATTTTAGTGCTTCTTTGGTGGAGTTTCAGCTTTTATTCCATGCTAATAAAACTCGACCTTGGTCATCAATGGAGTTAAAAGCTTCACCAGTGATGAACCATTATTACTCCAATGCTTCCCGTGGTCGGCCGGTTGCCAATCAAATTTTAATCCCGACGACTACTAGACCGATTGCATGGGAAGAGAGTGAATGGGAAGAGAGGGAAGAGGAGAAACAAATGGAAGATGAGAGGGAAAATCATTTTTTGTTTTGGTTTGGGGAAAATGAGACGAAAGATAAGAAAGAGAAAGAAAATAATTTTTTAATATTAAAAAATACCACATGACATTTAACGGTCGAAATTAATAGTCTGTCACGGTCAAATCCAAACCGTGTTACGGAATGAAAACGTTAGACACTAAACTATAACGAAAAAAACATTAGACACCAAACTAAAAAAAGACATACGTTGGACACCTTTTTGATGTTTAAACCTTTAAAATATGACGTTTGTGAATGAAACATATTGAGTTGAGAAGATTACTTTCACCTTTGTAAACTCGATCCAATTTAATTAATTAATACATTAAATATTGACAACGACAGAAGTAAAGACGGACTACTGGGGGCCAAGCCCCCAAACTTTTAAAAAATTACAATTTATACTCTTGAATTTTTCAAAAAATTTAATTTAATCCCTAAATTTTTTAGAAATTCATATTAAACTTCAATTTTTTTGAATATTCTTAATTAGATCCATCTCATAAATTTTAAAAATTCTCATTAAGATTATCAATATTTCAAAAAATTTAGTTAGACTTATTTTTAAAAAAAATTTAATCTAAACCTTGAAACATTTTAAAGTTTTAAGTTGCCCCAAACTCTATCACCAAATTCCGACACTGAATATTGACGATTATAAAAAAATAATTTTATCAAAACATAATAATATTCAATTTTTAAAAATATAAAACCACTAAAAAATTGAGGCAAGAGGGCATTTTCTATTCCGTCATAAAAAAAAAAGAGGTCAAAGAGGTTTGAGAGAGATACATGCGACGTTATTGAGAACTGTAAAAGTTAATCTGTATCTAATAAGTTAAGGGGAAAAAAAATAAAAGAACATCAGCAAAGCCAAAAAAGACATAAAAAAGAGGTATTTCCTTTCCTCTGACGCCATTTCACACCAAAACAAATCGCTACTCTTTTCTTTCGAAATAATGATTCTTCCTTGGTCCTAATTCCCAGCATAATAACTAAATAAAAGCCTACATTTCTTTTTTAATTCTCTGAAAGAAAAAAAGATCAACGAGAAGTTAGAAAACAGAGCTCAAAACATGGAAAGAACAAACACAAGGGAAATAAATGAATAAAGTCGTAAACAAATAGAGCCGACTCCATCTACTCTCTATCAAAGCTTTGATCTTCCGTTTCAAAGGTAACTCTCTTCCCCCATTTATGTAAGCTACCTTCTGATTTCAATTCTTTTAGTTTAGTTTTTCTCTCTTCATAGTTTGAAGCTTCATTATAATTAAATATTCTTCTTTCCTTGCTTGTCAGAAATTAGGGCTTTTAATAATATCCGTTCACATGACAGCAAATAAATTCTCATTCCAGATAGGGTTCCGATACATGGTATGGAAGTTTCATTTCATTTGACTGATACGCTTTTATTTATTTCTTTATCTTGTATAATATATTCTCCTATTTAGTTTTGCGGAAAATAAACAAGGGATTGATTTTTCAACATTTTTTCTTCTTTTTTTCAGTTCTGGGGTCAATAGATTACTGAAGTTGGTTCCTTTGAAAGTGTCAAGTTTTTATTATTTTGGTCACAGCTTGGAGCTTTGAATTGTTCTGTTGATGGGTTTTTTTAGATTCTGATTTGGAATCAGGAACTAGAAAATCAACCTTTTTTGTGTTTTCGGCTGTATTGTGGTGCTAAAGTCTGGGTTCTTGGTCAATTTCCTTGATTGGTTCTTTGTATTTTGTTGTAGAAAAATGAGCTAGAAAATATCACTTTTGTCCCCCCCCCCAAAAAAATGGCATGCAAATTGAGATGCATTTTTTTTTATCCTAAATGGTTTGGCTTAGGTTTGGATATCGGTAATTACTTGAAGTGTGAAGAGTAGCAGAGTCTGGTTCGATTATTTGGAGGAGTTGGGCCTTGAAAAATGGAGGATCAAGAAGCTTTACCTGATGATATTTCTGTACCCTTGGTAAGGGGAGTTAAAGCAGAAGAAGATGACGATGACTTTCAGAGCTGCTGTGAAGATGATGAGGTATGGAAGGAAACTGAAGAGGTGGTAAAGGAAGAAGAAAAGAAAGAGCTTGATGAATTTTTAGTGGAGATGTTCTTCAAGGGCATCTCTTTAGCTGAAACTGGAGACTCCAGTTCTGGGTTTTCTGGAATTGGGGTGGTTATGGAGAGATCAGACAATAGAGCTGTTATTCAAGTGCAGAAAAAGCTCGACTTCTATGTGGAGGAATCTGTGGCTGATTATTTAGCCTTAATTGATGGGTTGACAGAGGCTATGCAGAACAAGATTTGTCGTGTGTATGCCTTTACTGATTCCACATTGCTATATGATCAGGTCAGTGAATAACAACGGTTTGGCATCCTTGTGATGTTCTTTGATATCATCCTTATATTAATCCAAATACTTTCATGTTATACCTTGAACTAGCTTTACTGACTTGAACTTCTGACAGATTACATGTGAGGACAAACCCGATAATCCACTTTTGGTGGCTCTACGGGAAAGAATCTTGGAACATTCCCGTAATTTGGAAGAGTTCGTTCTGAAACTTGTTCCAAGCGCCAATCTTTTGAGGCCATTGCAGCTAGCACAAGTAGCAATTGGAGTTGTTTCTTCTCCTGCCAAGGGAGATAAATCATTTCAGAATTGTTCCATTTGCCGTGAGGACAAGCCATCTTTGATGATGATTACCATGAAGTGTTCCCATATATTCTGTTCCCATTGTATGAGAACATATGTAGATGGTAAACTGCAGTCGTCCCAAGTCCCAATCAGGTGCCCTCAGTTAAGATGCAAATATTACATCTCCACCGCTGAGTGTAAATCATTTCTTCCGCTTGCTTCCTACGAGTCTTTTGAAAGAGCCCAGGCAGAAGCAAATGTTCTTCACTCAGATGGAATATACTGTCCTTATCCAAATTGTTCTGTCTTGCTTGATCCTCGTGAATGCTTATCAACTGGGACAAGTTCATCTAGTCAATCAGATAATAGTTGTGTTGAGTGCCCTGTTTGCCAAAGGTTTATATGCATGAAATGTGGAGTTCCATGGCATTCATCAATGAGTTGTGAAGTGTATCGGAACCTCCCTCTTGAGGAAAGAGATGCTGCAGACATCACCTTGCATCTCTTGGCACAAAACAAGAGGTGGAGGCGGTGCCAGCAGTGCCGTAGGATGATTGAACTTGCTCAAGGTTGCTATCACATGACATGCTGGTAAGTCTATCATCTTGTAATTGTACTTTGGTTATTAGATGTTGGAATTTTTATTAAAGAATGGTCATGCCAAACATTGACAGTTCACAAAAGAAATAAGTCAATGCCTACCTCCTTGCTTTTGATTTTTATATTGGTTGCAATTTTCTTGTTTGCTACTCCGGGAGAATTTTAATTGCAACACCCGAATCTGGACATAGGCCATGGAGCTTGTAAAAATTGAAATCGTGGTTTTTGTTTTCTGCAGTGGCAATATCGTTTGCTAAGTCCCCTTTGATTAGACTATTTTTATGGGAACTTGGTTGGGAATTCTTACATGATCTTTTCTGGTGGGAGGGTTTCAATATTTGGACTTAAAACTTTGTTGTGTATGTTTGGGCTATTCTTTGTCCAATGATACAACCAAGTCATCCAAGAGCATAATTGGTTTGCTTCGATCATACAGTTCGATTTGCTTGTTTCCAGCTCATGTTTGTCCCTATGTATCCTTATGTAAATAGGTGTAATTGTATGTTTTGTTCACAAGTGCTACTTAGGTGTATATGACTTTGGTTTTATATTGGTTTGAGGTTCAGTTAGGTTCATGTCTCCTTTTTCAGGTGTGGGCACGAGTTCTGTTATTCTTGCGGTGCTGAGTACAGGGATAGTCAGCAGACCTGTCAATGTGCCTTTTGGGACGAAGACAACTATGAAGGATTGGTCACCCATTCTGTCCTCGAGTCGGAACAATGGGCTTGGGAGACTTTCAATTCACTCCCAATGATCATGGATGCATACTCAGACCAAGAAAGATCACAGCTGGCACTAATCCAAAGATTCCTTGCTGGGGGTTTCAGTCTTAGTGACCATAATCCATATCAATCCCCACCCCGCTGTACAGATTCCTATGTCGATGCCATGAAAGACCTCCGTCAGTTTCCTTGGCTCGAGAGATTTGTCTCTGTAATAAGTGACAACTACTATGAAGACTATATCCAATGAAGCCAGTGTGGATGATCTCAATGTTAGGTAATAAGTTGCTTTTCAGTTCAACAAGGTTTACAAGAGAGACAGTTTCTCACTCTATTGGCTCTGTTTTTCATTTACACAAATTTCTTTAGATTAGTCACCCCACCCTCTTATGTGGTTCTTGTTGGTCATTAACTACATGCGGGAGGCCTTGGCTTAAGAGCGGGGGAAGATTATGTGCATGATGCTTTCTTCTTGAAAGGAAAAGAAAGAATAGGGTAAACATTTATTGATATCATCAAATTGAAAGGAAGTTGAAACAAATCATTTTAACCGTTTTAGTTTCTCGACTAGATAATGAGTATGTTATTTCCCACTTCAAAAATTTAAAGTATAGTCTTCTAGTTCCAGAGATGGAAAAGTTAATTGTGACATGAATTGCTATGTTGGTTTTAGCAGGACCTTATTTCAATTTCTTCCATCATAAGTGTCGAGTTTAGAGCCAATGGTGTGGTTGAACTCTAGGGTTCCAACATCCCCGGTGGCAGCTGCTGGCCAATTGTATTTGAACCGGGGTTGTTAATAACAGAACAATTTTGTGGTCGTACAGGTCTCATTTAGCAAAGAAAACCAAATAGCTGTATTTTATATAATACAGTTTTGTATTTGGTGGTTCATGCATATTTAAAAGCATTCACCGAACTTCACATGGAACATCCGCTGTACCACGTTGCTCAAAAGTCGACATCTACAATTGGGGTGCCACCGGCCATCCATATTAAAAGTTTACAATTGGGCCTTCACTTGTTCTGCATGACTTGTTAAAGGCCACGTAACTACGTGGACAAACTGATATAATTGCATGTTTAGCATCTAAAAAAGAGCCTGGAATTCAGCATGAGTTTTTTTTAACCTCCTAGATTTGATTTATTAATTAATTAGTTCAGAGTGAATTTTGCAAAGATTTATTATAGGATGATCTTAATAATTGAATTTGTTTCATTTGTAAACGTTAGAATTTGAAGTCTTAATTTTACTTAAAGAATATAATGTGTGATAATTTAATGTCTTATCACATTTTTATTCTAGTAGATCATAACTCAACCTAAAGACACTGTTTTAATCATCATTATTAATAACCGGATTATTCAGCACAAGAAAATGACATTCAGGCACGGGGCCAATGTTGGACCTACAAAACGAGAAAAGTAAATGAAAACACATTTCTTTGATTGGAATGGAGGCAAGTGGCAACGATGTCTGCTAATTCACTTTACCTTTCCACTCTGTTCCTATCCTTGAATGGCGGAAACAACAAAGTGGAATAATAATTAAAGCAAATGATCACCAAAATCTTCATAAATATCGTTTAATTCAGGGACAAGATTTGGTATTTTGGATTGACAAAAGCAGGAAATCAAAGTAATGTAAGATTAGTCTGTGATTAATCTTAAAATAGGAATTAGCGAAACTTGAAAGACTATCTTCTCATTTGTCAATAGGAACCAGTAAAGGTAAGCAGTCATATAAACAGATCTATGGATTATGACATGGAGATGAAGACGTTCCCGATGAACAAGAGGATACATTAAAGAAAAGAGATCAAAAGACCAAAATTCCAAAAAAAAGAAAAGAAAAAGAACATTGAACCTATTTCACTATTCAACATGATACTCTGCTTCTGCATTTATTTACAGTGTATATATATATATCCTTTAAACCATTGAACCAGCAGGACGAATTGGGTTTTAAAATGATGGAGCATACAGTGATAATATGCTAGCATCAACTTGGGGAGGTGCTGCAGAAAAATATATGCAACGAGTTTCAACATGAGACGGCATTAGAACCATAACTAATTGCTTGGAGACTTGAATCAGACATATTAGTCATCCATTTCTGAGGACCATTTGATTCCCCCGGTATATTGTATGCATACGAAGGCCATATAACATCGATGCCACATGAGTTTTTGGTGCCCATTCTCATCATCTTTTGTGTTCTCTCGAGGACTACAAGGCTAGAAAATGTGGAATAACTGTTGCCAACAAAAATATCAGCCCTCGTGCACACCTCGTAGTCGATTGCTGACTGAATCAGATATGGATGCTTCTTGTAAATCCCATCAACTTTTAATTTCTTCTTCTCGAAAGGAAGCAACCCTTTCTTCCAACCTCTCAAAATCGAAGAATCATTAAGGAGGCTATCGGCAACGGCGAGATAAACAACAGTGGGAGATTCTGAGCTGACAATGTTCCCCACTCTTCGTATTATTTCTTGCTTGCTACTGCAAATTTGGTTTATGCGTGATCGTTGCTCTAACTTCTTACAGTGAATCATCCAGTCTATTTCTATCCTCATGTGGACTGCAATGTAAGGAGCCAAGGCCATTGAAGAACTCTCTGTATCGGCATCAGAATCGCTTTGCACTGTCTCAGTTTCGCTCCTATGCTTTCTTCCTATCTGCCTAATCTTGGACACAACTTTATCTGCTTCTTTTGATATCTCATCAACCAAAACTAAGCACTCAAAGACCCTTGCGTACTCCTTAACAGGCCAATGATCATGCCAAAGAAATGGATTCTTCCCCACAATTCTAATCACCTCATGCTCATCAACATGACCTCTGCTACTTTGCTTCAATTGCTCCATGTCTCTCTCAACTGTCCACTTCCTTCCACTTCCCTTTTGGAGATCATATATTCCAGTTTGATTCTTAAGATCCGAGTAACGACCCAACTGCACGAACCCGTTACAAAGCGAATTAAACTTATCGAATTTGAAGACTTTATCGAAAGAAATAGGCTACAATCGGTCGATTTCCTTGTAGAAAAGTGAGGCACTTAAGCTAGGCATCAAAAGAGTTCGGTTGAGCATTCTAGCAGTAAGACAAGCTCTTGCAAATGCTATCTTCTGGTTATTAAGTCCCCAAACAATTTGAGGAACCTCCAAAAACTTGTCCCTACGAATCCCTTCATAATTGGAGCTCAAAAACAAAGAGTGGCTTAGAATCAAGTCCTGGTTGATCCAGTCGATCACACCATAGCCAGGGAATGAATGGAGCAAGACAGTACTGAGGAACAGAACCAGGGTGACCAGTCCAAGACATTTACGTGTAAGAAAACTCAACTGGCAGCCTAACCTTGAAAGCTTACTGTTAGAAGACATGTCCATCTGAATGCACAAGCTTACAGAACTCCCATAACCGAACTCATTCAAAAGATAACATAGGAGAATTCAACAACTTAGAACATGCCAAGCCCTGATAGCCTTGGAAATTGAAGGCATCTATAGTTGAGCAGACACCTAATACGTGTCTTTGAATTTAGAATCTGGATAATTCAGAACAGAATTTAATGTATCATTAGAATCCACTGAAGCTTGAGAAAACATGTCAAAATTGCATGCTTGAATCAAAATCGTAGCTATAAAACAAGCTCAATTCAAAAGTAAAAACTGGGATGAGAAATGCAAGCCAAGATGAAGCCCACGTTATACCATAAAATAACAGTTAAAATAAGATCGAAAACCAATGAAGCTCGTCTCTTTGCCAGTCTAACAAATTGAGCAAAAGAAACCAATGGATACTCCAAAGAAGAAGAAAAAAGATGGAATGCAAAAACCAAAGTTTTATTGAGAGAGAGACGGATGATGATGAAATTGACTAAAACTTCTTACCTTGCCTAGAAATCTGCAGAAATCAAATTACGGTGACGGAAGAATCCAGAATTCTGACGATAGAAAAAGACATCAAATTTTAATATATGTGATGATCATGCATGAGAAGGAATCCAGAAAAGATTGAACTCTCTAGAACCAAAAGTTATACCCATCGCCTTTATGACACCCAAGAACAACCTCAATGACAGCATGAACAAGCAAGTGAGATAACGTGTCCTTTTTTCAATTACTAGGGGAAAAAAGGAGAGAATGGATTAAGGAAATATAATAATAATAAACGTAGGAAAGGAAAAGAGGGTTGGACTCCAGTGGGATGATCGTAGCAAACAAACAAGGAAGTGCAGAGGAGTCGGAAACTCGGAAGGGATCAGTCTGATTTTGCAGGACGATTTGATAAATCCACTTTAACTGCCTCATCAGGACCCCACATTAAAACAACGTCACAAACCAGGGTAGGGTAAAACTTACCCAAAATATCACTATTAAATTATATATTGTTAAGAATTTAATAATATTTTATGCAATTGAAAATCTGTGTCATTACCTACATCGTTATCGTTTGAATTGTGGAGATATTTGGGTATTACTGTTATTAAAAATCTAATTATTAGTATAATTTGATACTATTTTGTGTAATTTTTACTATATTTAATAATAAAATGAACACTGCTTTAGATTGTGATTATTATCATAATAATATGGGTAGTTTAAATGGTATGCCAATTGCCAACTCACGCTTCAATGTCTAAGGTCAAAAGACGAGGGCTAGAAGGAAGGGTCGCTTTCTGATTAATGTATTGTCCATTATTCACAAGTCACAGCTCAGAGAGTTCAGTTTTGTTTCCATTATTATTAAAACATTCGTTTTTTATGAGAGAATAATATAAATCTTCTATGGTTTTTTGCTTTGTTTTGTTAATATCATCGTAAAAATTGATTTTTGAATAGGCAGAATATTTATTTTAGATATAACATCATAAAATAAAAATAATTTAATTTGAACAATATTCATATTAATTTAACATAAAATATATCAACTTAATTTATAAATTTTAATAATTTATCAGGAATACTTCGATATATAAAATAAAAATTTTAATATCTTTTAATAAATTAATGCGAATTATTTTAATATAAAAGCAAAAAATGAGAAAGAAAAAGAAAATGACATGAAAGAAAATGAAAGAATCTAAGAGGCTTGAAGAAACGAATTTAGAGATGAAAACGATGGGTGTCCTATGTGAGGGCGGATGTCCATTTTGGGATGTAGGAAGCACAGTTGATGTGTAGGGTATTTTATGGATGAGAACTGACACATCCGAATCTCGCTCATCTACATCGCTTTGGTTTGTTGAACTCTAGGTCTTTTGTGCCCTACAAAACAAAACTTGCTTACATTTGTAAGCGTTAAGTGATTCATATATTTAAGAATGAAAGTTCAAGTTTTTAATATTCTTTTTTTAATAATGGGTATGCAAATTTTTTTATGTTTTTTATTTTCTCTTAATATATTAAATTAAATTTCACATTTTTTTAAATAATAGAATGTAATTGGCTCATATGGGCTTAGTGTAACTGTTCTGCAATGCCCCAAAATTTGCATGTAGGGGTAGGGGGCCTTCGATAATGGATACCTAATTTGTGTGCAAAGTTTTCCTTCATTACTTTATATATATATATATTATTTGATAATGATTATTAATCTTAATATATCAAAAGCTGCACCTTTACCACCAACTATGTTAAAATGAAAACAATTCGAAATAAATATGCAACGAAGAAAATAACAATGTTGATTAGGCATTTTATTTCATTATTGGAATAGCAGATGATCATCTTAGGGATAGATTAATTTGGAGGAACCAACTTGGTTAGTAAGAGCGACGGATGGCTGTGACTGATAATCATCTTCATGGTCGCAGTAGCCTTCAAGAACATGGGCCTCTTGGGTTGTAAAGCCTAGTGCGTCGATCATGTTGGGCCAGCATTGATGCCTTATGGTACCAATTGCTCGCTCCAGCAGTGGGTGATTCCTCATCCAACTTCAACCGAACCAAAAGGATGTTGTCTTGGGTAGGTCCAATGGCCTTGCCTTACCCATCGAAACCATGCTCATTCCAGACACAAATGCAAAAAAGAAGACCCTGCAAGTGGAACCCATTTCTGATTGGTTATTTGGCTGCAAATAGGCTGTGAATTTGTTGTGGTTTATATAGGGATGGCAACATTGATGATGGAGAAGTCAGGAATCCGCATTATTTGGAAGAAGCTCATCGGTTTTGCTTCATCAATTTCATTTCCACTACATTGCAATAAGCTATCCTTTTGGTTTAACTAACATTTACAAAAATTTTATCTGTCAAGACAAAGTTTGCTTTTTTCTATCTTCGTGTTCTTGCTGTTAGGAAACTGAATTGAACTGTGGATGGTTCTTCAGGCATCCAGAAACTGGCCACTACCTTTTGGTTCTGCCATTGTATTATTCGCCTGGAAAACCTGTCATGGCCATTTCCCCCCACTACAAGACACCGCCACCAACTCATTATGTTGTGATTTGAGTATTCATTTTAATATAATTTTTTATTATCATTTTTGACCTGATAAATTTAAATTTGAATAACTAATATATATATTTCTTTTATTTTGAACTAACAAAATCTTTTTGTTATGAAATCAAAATCAGAATCTATAAAAAGCCTAAATTTGATCATGATATAAGTTCCAAATTCAACATCAATGCTAATGCTAAATTTATCACCAGTAGTTGGATGCTTATGAGCCAACATGAAATCATCATTTTGTCAGACCAAAATCCAAATTCCCAAAAAAGAAAAACAAGTTTCAAGCGTTCACCATTTTTTAATCTCATTCTCATCCCCCCCCCCCCAAGTTTTCAAGGATAAACTAAGACACCAATAATTTCATCTTCCAATCCCATCACCTCCAAGTATCCAGAGATCCACTTCCTTTGATTTTACGTTATTTGATTTTCTTTCATTTATTGAGTTTGTTGGAGTTGGAGATTACTTCTCCCACATTGATCAAATTTTAAGGTAGGTGCCATATTTATTTTTCTTGGCATCCAAATGATAATATGAATTGATTTCCCTTCCTTTTTACCTTATGATTTTGGCATTCATTGAAAAGCTAGCTTTTGGTTCTCATGGTCATTTCTTTTTTGCATTGATTTGCTTTTGTGTTTGAACTCATCCCTTTTCTGGGTCTATGGCATTGCACTGACTGGCCTTAGTCTTTCCTCAAGAACCATTTTTTTTTCTGTCCCCTGGTTTGAGTTTTCTGTTTCAAAAATTTGTTTTCCTTTTCCCCTTCAAACACCCACCTGCTTTTTCTTTTAATTTCACGGTTGCTTCTTCAAATATGTTGAGCATTGCTTATGGTAACCACATTTATCCCTCAGCCTCTTTGCTTCTATAATATTACCTTTGATTTTGGCTTATGTTACTTTTCATGCCAATTTTCTTCATGTGCTTTTCATACGGGTTTAAATGTAATGCCTTTTCCATTTTATTTATATTTGCTTTTCTGAAATGAAAATGTTTGTTTGTTTGATGGAATTGGAGTTGTCTTTAGATGGAGAAAATTTTATATCTGATATTTCTTGGATGAGGATGGTTATTGGTATCTTTTTTGAATATTTATCTCCTTTTAGTTTTTGCTTTTATGGACCATATGGTTGGTACCCTTTATTCTAAAATTGGCATGATTGAAGAATTTCCTCTTTTTTCTTCTCCTCCTGACTGCCATTATTTGTATTTGTGAGAGAATTGATGAATGGAGGAGGGACAAAACTCGGAGAAGGTAGCCTTTCTGCTAAGTTGATTTTGAGATTGTAATATGGAAGCATTGACTAAACAGACAACCATGACACTAGTCTTACAAAACTCAGGCTCACATGTTGGTTAAGAATTAATTATTGGCTGATCCTTTCATTCCTTATACTTCCATCTTCTGTGGTATTCTTGCTTGCAAAGTGGTATGCTGACTTGTTCCCCTATTGAAGGATGTACCCATTAATGAGGCTTGCAGGAATAAGTTTCACATATTTCATATTAATTTGTGTCTATTCTGATTTTGTCGCATGGTTGCTTTTCCCTTCAACTCCTTTATTGAACTTACGTTTGCATAGGTCTATGATCTGACCGACTTAATCAACAGCTTTTACATCAAAACTTACCCTACTCTTACTAAAATTCAAAAAGTAGATTGGAACAATCGGTTAGTGTAGTGCATGCTCTTTTCTTTTCTTTTTGCTTCTGTAATCATGCTCATTCTCTCATTGGTTACTAAGATATTTTTGGCAGAGGCATCTCTACGACTCATGCCATTTTCGTTTCTACTTTGTCATTGTACTTCGTTTTCTGGTCAGACCCCTTTTCCGACCCACGGCTTTCGGGTCTTATCGTCTTCAGAAGCTCAACACTCTCTACTTTTGGGCTAGGGGTAAGTTTTAACGTTCTTATGATCTTGAAGTGGTTCAACCATGTATCTGTGGATAACTTATTTTGGTGTAAACATTTGTTATATTTTACAGGTTTCTCTTGGATACTTCTCTTCGGATCTTTCTACGACTTTATGGCAATATCCCGCTTTAGGTGGAATAGACTGTGGAAGTGTATTCTGTACAAGGAAAACACTCTGGCACACATTTCATTCATTTTTCTAACTCCTTACTGTTGTAAGCAACAATAATATTAGTAACAGTTCAACTTTTGCTACTGCAAAATGTATCTTTAAGTAGTCAGTTGTTTCCTTACACCATTCAACTTATGATAAACTCATTTGGTTCATAAATAAATTGCAACAGAAAGTATGTGAGCATATGGTCGTTATGCTTCTAGGTTTCAGTTCAATTAATCTTCATAAAACTGGTAACCATATGTTCACGGGGAATGATTAAAGAGGTACTATCATCTAACTACAGGTTATCCATCACATCCTTACTGGAATCGCAGTGGCATATTCGATGTTTACCGGAGAAGCTCAGCTGTATACATACATGGTTCTTATATCCGAGGTGACAACCCCAGAGATCCATTTGAGATGGTAGGTTGTACAAGATTATGTCTGTGTGCAGAAAATTCGATCGAAAATCATCTAATGATTTCTGTGATTGAAGGTACCTTGATACAGCTGGTATGAAGCAGTCCACTGCTTATCTCATTAATGGTATCGTCATCTTTATTTTTAGGAAAATAGAAGGGAATAAGTTGAATGGATTATTGGACATAGATGGCCATCAAAAGCTTTTTTACGGGTGTTTCATATCATTTCTAGCAAAGACAGCAGAAGTTTCTTTTTTTTTTTTAATTTTCAATAAGGTCCCCAAACTTTTAACCTAAGCTGAAGTAAGTTACTGGTCGCAGATTGCGAGAGTTATGTTGTTTGGCTACATGTTCTACCATGTGTACTTGCATTATGATGAGGTACTTTCACCTCCCTTAGTTTTTAGATTTAATTGTATACTTTTGTGTCCTCATCTACTTTGCTGCATTAAATAATACTTTCCGAGTAATTGGTTTTTGCCAATATTTGAATGTTGCTAAGAATAGTTTAAAGAGAAAAATGCATTAAAACTAAACAATTAAAATCGCTCGAATTCTTCATTTTTCTTGAAGTACACATGTTCAGTCATGGATACATAAAAAAAGCTTTATATTAGACTAAACATATCAGCTTTATCTTAGACTGAACATATCGATAGATAGACTCAGTAGGTGATGAAGATGCATACCTTTGGCTTCGTCTTGGTTTTCGGCGTGCCATCTGCGTTAGGCATCTTGAACATGATGTGGTTTGGGAAGATTATTAAAGGTTTGGTGAAGACTTTAGCAAAGAGGCAATCACGGACAAAGGAAGTAGACGGTGGTAATTTATATTCAATTATTGTTCTGCCTGGGATTTTAGTATTTTCCCCACTTGTGCAATGTATAAAGATAGACAAAAAGGTAAAAAAAAATCTGAGAACAAGGAACTTGAGTTTGATATGATTTTTGGTGTCAGAGATGTAACTTTTGGCACTCAAGACCAATCCTAACTTGTCATTCATTTAGTTCAAATATATGCTGTTCCAGCACTAAATTTTTTAATCCATGCCTACATCATAATTGAGACTATCACGCCCCAATTTAGGGCTAAAATTTTAATAAATTTTTAAAGTATCGAATATAAGTTGTATCAAGGGAGAAATTTAGGATTAAATTGTAAAATTTTAAAGTTGATAGACTGTTTTAAGAAGTTACAGAAAATTAAAGAATTTGAACCTGAATTTACTCATTTTTATTACCCAGTGAAAAATCCCCTGAGCAATTTGATTCCCCCTAAATTAAAATCAAATCCTTAAATCCCAAATTATTCATTTCCCCCACCGACCCTCTTTACCGGTCAAATTCATCACCGTCTGGCCACCCCAGCTCGAGCCACCACTACCAAAAGACTCATCGTCGATCGGTGATCAAAACCCGACCCCTACTCCGCCATAAATCGCCACCATTCGCAGTGTAGGAGCAGAGAAAAGCCCGTCGAAAAACCCTGTCGCCGGGTGAATCTTTGACGATTTCGACAAGCTCCGGCGTTGTCTTGCCTCACCGCCACCTCCACTGCTTTCACCGATGTCGTGCGAGCAAAATCTGAGCGAGTTCACTGCCCAACCGTTGCCCGTTCACCGTCCGCCGTGTAATTGGACCCGAAACTACCTCCGTTGTCGTTGCACAAGCCGCCATGCGCCGGCGGTACGTGTGGAGCTTGTTTTGGTATGGAAAATTTTCCAGAACTGGGTCGAGCCGTCTGGTCTGATCCAGTCACTGAGTCAACTTGGCTTAGTCAACCAGTTGACCGGCCATTGACTTTTTTCGGATACACCTATTCTGATGTTTTTCAACGTCCCAAGTTTGTTTCGCCAAATTCAAGCCCAGAATTATTGGATATTGAATTAAATTTCGAGGACGATTAATGGTCGATCGATATGGCACGGAAACCAAGGTAATACTCTACTACCTTTTGTATGTTTTTTGGAACTTACTAATAAATGATAAATGCATGAATGTAAAATATTGGTCCATAGTTAACTACCTTTGGACTCATACGAAAATATGATTAAAGACGGAACATTGTATAAGACTCTAACAGCTCGAAAAGGAAATTGGTAAACTGATCAAAAACAAATCTCAGTTCAACGTTTTAATCAATAAATTAATCAATCTTAGAATGCGTAAATTCTAATTAATCTCGTCAGAGAATAAATGTTGAAAATATTTGGATAAGAAATTACCAAAATACTACTATGGGTAAAATTACGAAAGTACCATTGTACTGGAAAAATGACCAAGACTTCACCAGATGGTGAAAAAATAACTTTGAAATGACATACTTGACTAATGATAAGAAAAAATTGCATATAATTGAATTGAGAGGAATTACTGAAATGTCCTTGAACTTCGTAATAACTATAATAACCTCTATTGATAAAATGAATTAGAATACTTTCGAGCCTAAGTTATCCGAAGTAATGCCACTGACATAATTGAATGAAATGATGATAATACCCTTAAAGTGTAAGAAAAATAATAGGGATGACTATGATATTGGAGACAACCTGAGAACTTATATTATGATCCATTGGAATCTTGGAATCACCGATTAAACTCCTAATTTATTTGGAATGTCCCTGAAGTATAATACAATTCGACAAGCCCTGGAATAACTAATACCCTCAGCTCTGAAATGAACCAATCAATCTCGTATAAAATGACTATATATTATGACCAAGTTGAACGGAATGTGAGTACAGTATGTATTTGAATTTCGAAAATGACCGAATAACTCAGGAAACTCCTAAGCGACCGGATAAACTTGAATACTAATTGAATTAAGTATTCCGATAACCTTGAATTCAGTGAATAACATGGATAAGTCTGGAAACACTGATGATCTTATATGTTGTACCGTCCATAAAGGTTTTGAACCCCAGATCAAGCATGTGGACATTTCCTAATAACGTTGCAATGCCGAATTGGAATAAAGACCATTGGAATACATGTTTTTCTCTCTAAGATCCATTCCGCGATGATTCTGAAGATGATAAATTTGACAAGAATTGTCTATATTAAAAGTGAATACTCTGAAAGTGCAACGATTTGACCGGTTGGCAGGTATCATTGATGGGACTTGTACAGTTCGAGTTAACTCGATATTCCGATAGATCGACACAAATTGTAATGCCCTGAATCTTCGTTTCTCCCTTATCAGCTCAAATCACTCAGAGTTTTCCAAGAACCTAATGCCCAAAATGCCTCTGATTTCCTGAATAATGGAATCACTCTGGTCATATATGAAAACACTGTAACTTAGATGCAAAGGATTATGATTAGCTTTTTGATTTCATAGTGCCTCCGAAAGACATTCGAATACTATATGATCCTGATAAATCGCGTTCTGAATAACTAATGATCCCGTCAAATAATGAACTCTTCCGATAGTGATTCTAACTTCCAACATTTTATCGATATACTGAAGATTCATGTTTCCCCTGTTCGATAAGGTTATCATGTACCTCCGAATAATATCTAGAACCTTTAGTGTGTTCCTAGACCACACAAAAGTTTTCTCTTATTCTGTTATGATCTCTTATCACTACTCTAATTTCTGATATCTCTGTTTACTAACTGAATTATTTTTATATTGGGTACTCTGGAATCTGGTATGAAGACTCTGGCAGGTTCAATCGTTGTTGGTAATTCCATGTATAGGTTCAGCATCGACTGGTAATTCCTTATCTCTGGCAGGTTTAGTCGCTGCTGGTAATTCCTTGAATAGGTTCAGCACTGACTGATAATTCTTTATAGGCCTAAGACGACCCTTGAGTAGGCTCTGCGGCCCCGATAAACTTTCTTGGGTAGGCTCTCAGGCCCTAAGGTACTCCCTTAAGTTATACAGTTCTGGGGAGCTGCATATGGCATTCGGTTGGAGGGATTACTATGTTTTTTTTTAAATATGTCTTAAACCGCTACTATTTTAAAATATATATGTACCTTTTCACTGGTTTTATGGGAACACACTAGATAACTTATTCTAATCTCCTGAATCCAGTCATCTAAAACATTTCATCTGAACTGAAAGCTTGCGGTCTTTTACTATATGAAATATCAATGGGACCTCAGCTCAACATAAAAGTCTGTAGATGTCTGAATCTATAAGGAAACATATGTTTATCTGTTATTTTCATGCTCTTCAGCATCATCTGGTAGTAATGTATTACTGAAAGCTCACTCTGTTACTCACATTTTCAGGTTAAAAGGATTGATTTAGTGCAACTATCGACATCAAAAAGGGAGTTCCACCGACGTTGCTTGCGGAGTACGATGCATATGTTTAGGGGACATGTAGGTTGCATTTTGTTTTTATATCTGAGTCTGAAATCTATTTTATTTTTTAATATTGTTAAATTTTACTGATATGTTTATAAATTGTTTTATGATTTTACACATTTTAACAAAAATTTTAAATTTTCTGAAATTTTTACGGTGGATCGCTCCAGTGGCCACTAAATATAAAACCCACAGACCAATACGGGTAGCCTGATCCAATCCGAGGTTTCACATTATGGCCACCAATTCGATCGGTTAAACCAATCTGATGAAAAGATGGTATATTTAATATCTATTCATATGTTATGTGATTCGGGTTTAAGCTCAACCTAAAATCTGATCTATTTTTTTAGATATATATATATCTAGCCTGACATAAATATAAGTAAACATATATAATTCTTAATATTATTTTATTAAATAAGGATCTAATTGAAGAAAAATGGAGAGAAAATGGTGTTATTTATCCCTACGTACATAAAATATAGTAATTATACTATTATCTCGAATGGAGATTTTTCTCCCTAAACTTAAATTTGATCTAACTTAAATATGAATTTTGAAGGGGGAAAAATGACAACCCTACAAGACCGGCCGATTCAAATAAGAATCCATTAGGTTTGGGTCAAATTATTGTCCCTAGTTAGGCGAAATTGGTTCATTAGGCCAAGTGGCAAAATAAATTAGTTCATTAAGCCACTTAGAAATTTATTTTGGTATATATGTCAAATGCTACAGTGAACTGTAAACTCGTCCTCTAGGCGTGACAAGTTTGCCCAAATAATAATTTTAAATGGACACAGGTAAGTGGGCCTTGTGGGGT